CACACACAGACGCACGCACACGCACAGCATACACACACACACACACACACACACACACACATTAAAACAGTAGTTGAACTAGTTATTGCGTCTAATCGCAAGAAATTTACACTCTTATTGCTCGTCCCTCTCGCGCGCATTTTTAAACATTTTCAAAACAAAAATACTTTAATTTTAATACACGACATTTTATAATTTGAACACATTTTTCCAATCTACTTCTCATTGCAATATAGATATTATTTTAATACACATTTTATTCATTCAGCAAAACTTTGCAGTAACTATTTCACTGTAAAATTTGCAATAACGGATAATTAATTACCACACTAACTCGAACAAGTTAAGTCTTACTTAATGTTCTTATTTTTCAAAAATATTGTACACATATCATTATTTATACGTACTTTTTGCCATTGAAAACGATCAAAAGACCGTATTACTCATTATTGTACACACGCGAGGGGTGATCATTTCTCACACATATGGTTTTTTGATATATGAAAACGTGTTTATGTAGACGAACTCATTGTGATAGAACGTTGTTGGAGAAGGTAGATACGCTTCTGGTTATGCGACTTGAGATGATGATAATTCGTAATTTATTTCAACATAATAACGTTGTCATGATATAATAGAGACGTCACGCAATGCGACATATAATACAGGTTCTCTAATTAACGTATCAATAATTGTCTGCGCAGACAATGATCGCCAATCTACTCGGTGTTGCCGGCACGGACGTACCAATCGACGAAATTGAGAAATTTATGATTCCACACATGGTAAGTAATTTTTTTTTATTGCTATTTACATATTTTTATTTTACAAAAGTTACAATTTATTATCATTATCAATTATAAATAACAATAATTAAATTATAGATGAGAGTATCAGTTTAGGATACTTTATCACGTAAAATATAACATCTATACAATAAAAATCTATATATTAGCAATTAATTATGAAATAAAACAAGAGTTAATTTAAATTAATTAAAACCAAAAATATAAGTAGACGCCAAAATTAAAATCAACTAGTATTTATCAGCACTTTGATTATTTCTCTCACTTTTCATCATTTGCTCGGTACTTTCTTGTTGACGTAGATTAGAAAGAGGAATTAAAAATAAATATATATATCCACAATAAATATCATCCGACACGATGAAACAATACAATACTAAAATAATAAATAAGACATGAATGAAAAATTAAATATCTCTTTGGACATCGAATATGACGACTCTATTAAGAAGAGTGACATGAAAATGCTATTAATATCCATTAGCTTTTATGATGCACACGGTGCATCAATTGACAGCGTAACAAATGTTAATACAATCTTCTTTTTCTCTTTATCTTCGTGGGAGCAGCTCGGCGTCAACGGTTACGCTTTCATTGTGACCAACAATGGTTTCATCCTGATTCATCCTGATCTTCGACCAGTGGTAATTTGGCTCTTTAAATTATATTATCGTATTTAACTTTTTTTTGCACGCACGTATTTATGTCTCGATTTGACGTTTATGTTGCGTGAAATTGCAAAATCTTTACTATTTTTAGCGACATTGAGTTTTTGATGTAACAAGATAAGAATAAATATAAGTAGTAAAAATAATATGTATTATAAAAATAGTTTCAGGGTATCTTAAAGCCAGCATATAATAGCGTCGATATGGCGGAAGTTGAGCTAATGGATCACGATACGGGCCCCAGAGACTTTGACGAAGGAATCAAGATGGTAAATAAATAAAAAAAAGCAATAAAATTTTTTTCCATAAACTTTGGCAGGTTTAGAACAAATAAAAAATAATTTCTGTAAAAGTCGGCAAAAAGTGAAATAAAAATCGTAGAACGTCAATGACACGCTCTTGAAATTTTCAGTACTACTATCGTTAAATGTTACATGTAACAAATAATTATGTACGAGTTTATTGCATCTTTTCGCAGCTTCGCAACAATGTGGTGAATCAGATGAATGGTAGCGCGACGCTTTATACAAAATATCATTACGATGACATGGTGAGTATACTGTCATGATATTTTAATGATAAATATTCATAAATGTACAATTTATTTAACGAGGATTTCATTTTTGCCACTAGGTTTTTCTAAAATTCTCATTATTATTCGGAGAGAAACAATATCAAAATAATAAATGATAATCTAATATTTTTAAAGTTTGTATTTTTTAGATTTTTATTATTTTATCACTCGTTTCCTTTAGAAAGGATTTTGATTTAAATCTAATATGTTTTTAAATGTTTACGTAGAAACGTCTTTTCTAAAAAAAAAAAAATAAGAATTCTTTAATAATCTATAACAATAACAATAGTTAATTAATAGAAACAATAGTCTTTTATAAAATGATTATAATACTTCAATTGATTGCTTATAATATTGTTTATTGCTTTAGAAACGTGTCGGCAGAGTAAAGAGAAAATACGATTACGCGGGAATAATGGACACTCCATTTACGGTAGTGGTCAGTTTGCCTGAACACGATCATACTGGAAATTATCGCGTGCACGCTACCGAGGAGATACATCGATCTCACGCTAAAGGTACACATTTCATTCTAGCGAACTATCTTACAGCGACGAAAGCTTCCAATAACACAATATTAGATTATTTGCATTTATATTGAGTCTTCTTAATAACATACTACATTTTCTATTTTTAAAACAATAGTTGTCCGAAATTATTTTACGCAGAATATTGAGCATTGTTATTTGAACTTATTACTGTAAATTATCTATTTAAATGTACTTTGAGAAATTAATTGATTTATTAAAAACGCTAATGAATTGATAATAAAATTCGAGACTCTTAAGACTCGACACTACTCAAGTAGAAGGTGACATGATCGGTCAAATAGATGCCGAAAAAATTTGGCGACAATAATGTGATTATGAAAACCTCCGCAAAAATATACGAAGCATATTTTTCCTTTGAATGTAATTCTGTTTTATGGGATTACATTCAAAGTATAGATATATGACAGTTTGCAAGCTACAATGTTTTGCTGTAAAGTTCCCACTTGGTACGCAGTTTGGAGTCGCAAAGATATTCACAAATAAGTTTTGTATTGTATCGGTTGTGAAATTCACATTGAATGTTGCTAAATGCTTTGTATAAGTTTAAAGTTCCCGATAGGAAAGTTTACTTGCCCTAAACAAAGTCCTATACATACATCTCATAACTCCTGTATTAACATTCTAGGAAAAATCTGCGATCCTTATATTTCGCAACGACAAATGATATTTTTTTACTCATAACGATAAAAAAGCGATTAGTTTAACATTTTTTTTATCGCTTTATGAAATTATTAGCTTATTAAGATGATAACAATTTCAATTTCTGCTTCGGACGTTAAACTGAATTATTATTTTTTTCTTTTTAACTTATCGAGGCTTTCGTCGCTGACCTTGATCACTTATGTCAAATTTGAACGAATTGAACTATTGCATCCTCATTGGCTATATTGCAAGTAAGTCCCGAATGAGTTTTTAAAATAATTCTGATTGATGTAAAGTTTAGCTATATTCTGTTTAGCTATATTAAAATGAAATTTATATTCAGCGAAGAAAAGTAGGTTAATAAACTAATGAAATGCGACAATCTTATGGATCTATTTATACACATACTCTTCTTATTGTAAACGTTAGGTATCATTACGAGGGTGAACATAGGTTCAATTCCTCGGAATCACAGCTCTTACATTTTCTGGAGCGTACCCGCCTACCAGGCTGGAAGTGGATCGACATGAAGCAACGATCCAAACCGCCAGAACACTCCGCTACGAGTTCAAATCACAGCTCCAATCGTAAGTCATCTCTTATTATATGCATCTCTTACTATCTTGTTATACATATGTATTGTTTATCTTTAGCGTTGCTTTAATAAATATGTTTCTAACAATACTAAAATTAATAGCATTTAAATTTTTTGTGCGACAGCTAAGCCCTACAAGGCCGAGAACAAGAATTCATACTTTTGTGACAGGAATCTGCTGCTCAGTCTAGTATACGATGCTAAGGTAACCGAGTGGTTTGCCCAGCAAATCCCACCAAATCCCAGCAACAAGGAATCAGGGTGAGCATAATTTCGATTTATTAGCTAATACATAAGAGTGCTTTACATAGCATGACTAGACTACTTGGAAAAACAATGAACGAATTTTCCTTTTCCCTATTATTCGCATAAACTAGCGCGCGATTAATCGGTCAAATAACACAAAACTAATACAACTATTCGCATTTTGTAATATTTCATATTGTTTTTATTCTTATATAGATGCAACTCTGTAATTAATGATAATATTAACTCTTGCATTAAAATTAACATTGTTAATTGTTTTATCACTTTGATAATTGATTTATAAAGAAGCTATTGATCAGAATTATAACAAAAATTGGATAGATTTAAATTCTAAATTTATAACGAATATTTAATATTAAACAGTAGCATGATTATTGATAATCTATCACAAATAGATGCAAATTTTTATAAAGATAAAATATAAAAAATGAATTATAACGTAAAATAAATAAAGCTGGAACGATTAATCGCTACTCAACACATCTTTAGGACGGAGACGTCGCTCTTTCTCTACCATTATTTCCTTATCAAAGTTAAAACGTTACACGTGCTCATTTTGAAACACTCCGTCCCGTGTTTTTATTTTAGTTCTCTATTTTATGCACAGTTCTTTCTTTTCAATTTCTCTGTCTTGTTTCTATGAGGATAGAAAATTCACCTATTCCTTTTGACTAATGTCTTACCACTTTGACGCCATGCAGACCTTTAGCTAGGCTGATGAATCAGATGACCAGGTAACGCCATCACAACGCACCTTACATTCTTAGAAAATAACGAATTAACTTTCAACCGTTTGAATCGTACATTATAATGCAAATGTCGGTTCTCCCTATCTTTCTCTTCTCTTAACTCTATTTTTTCCTCTCTCGTTTTTTCATAGAATTTTATTTCATTTCTCATTAGAGAACTGTATTTATTATCTTCTTTCTAAGTTAATTAAAATTTAAAAAATTTGTATTATATATATGTATATAAATTTTACAGAAAAATTGATAGAGAATTGTATCTTTCGCGATTTCTCTTTTCTTAATTTAATTTGCTATCTTTTTTGTAAAGTACTTGTTCAGTATATTAATTAATATTTTTATGTGATATAATCTTATTTTCTTTTCTTCTGCTTTTTTCTTCTTACTCTCTTTCTCTCTTCATCACTTTCAACACTTTGGGATCAGCACTAATTAGCTTGCAAGTCGTAGGGCGATTGCCATCTTTCAGGATCAGAAGGTCTGAAGAAGAAGAACGCTTTGCGAGCGCAAGAAGATTTTTTCAACGTGCAATTGATTTCAATTGCTTTATAGCATTTTTTAAAAGTATTATTCGTTCGTTTGCGCCATTCTATAAAAAGACAGTTTTTTTCCTCTGATAGTTGAATCTTTTACAACACAATCTTATTTCAATATTTAATTTAAATAAGTAATTAACGAGATGATAGAAAAATATATACTATGCTATAATGGTAAAATCATGTTTTATTTGTAATAAGATATAACTCATCTAGTTTTTCATGAATCAAATAATAAATTATTGTTGTGAATTCAAGATAATAATTGCGATATAATTTTTTATCCTTCTTTATTTGAACTTGGGAAATTAAACCCCCCATAGATGTGGCGCAAAGGAGCTGCGAGCTTGCGTACAAATTTTTGAGACCTGTATAACTTGTATTATAGTTATATATCAAGTATCTTAAAATGACTTTTTCAAAAAAGTACAAGTAAACGCCAGCTCGAGTTGTAGACGATTCGAATCGCTATTTCTGAAGTGTCTTCTCTCGTAGGAAGCAGTTCAAACAACGCTTTGGGGTAGTTTTGGCGTTTATGGCTACACATAATGGATTGACCAGATGGCAAGATTTTCTTCGAGTAGATGAGAATATGTCGCTGTCGGAGAATCATTTCAGTAAATTGTACCCTCGTGCTATCGACGAAGTATGGTATAAACGAGCGGTCGAGCAGTACTACATAAATGAGGATAGTTTCGTTTTTTCCGTACCGCTCGAAGATGAGGGTGCCAATAACTCCACTTTAGTCACTGCCAGTCGTGCTGTATTTATTGGTAAGTTAATAATCGATATTCAAACTGTCGTCAAAATAGAAGAGGAATATTTCCTTCCGAAATATTAAAATCAATGAGATTAAGATAAGCGAAAGAAAATAAGAAAGACGAATAAGTCTAATTGAGAACTCACTTAGATTTATAAAATCTAAGAAACTCACCACGAATATATTAAACGTTTCATAATGATTGTGTTGAAAATCCGACAATTATCAGCGCGCAATCACATTTGGAACAAATAATTGAAATATATTCGTAACATCTAACTTTGACCCTCCCCATTCGGCGTTCTTTACTTTATTCGATTTATTCATACATGGTCGTTCTTCTTATAATGTTCAATTAGATTTATTTGTCTTATTTTTTTTTAATTTCCTAAATACTGTAGTAAATCCTAAATACTGATAGTTAAGATAGAAACAAATCGTCCCAAATTACATGGGATCAATATAATTCATAATATTTACAAGATCCATATTTGAAACATCTTTTAAGTAAGTAATTATTGTTAGCTCCAACATTAATTTTAAAGAAAGACTTAGTCAGATAACTTGCTTTAAATACAAATGATACGTACTCGTATATATAATGATATGACAGGATATTAAATCTGCAAAAATAAATTTATAGAAAACGCGAAGGGGAAGGCGCCGGCCATGGTGGTCGGCTTTCAATTCCAGCACACTGCCTTGCAAACGCTTTTCCAGAACATAACGTTTAACTGCGATGGTAATTGCCATAAACACTGTGGCGATGAAGTCTGGGCATGCTATCTCATTGACAATAACGGCTACATAATCGCCGCCGAGGACGAGACAGACGCTGGTAAATTTTTTGGTGATGTCAGAGGTCCGATAATGAGCAGCTTAGTTAAGGATGGTGTCTTCGAGAAGATAAGGATCTTTGATTATCAAGCGGTGTGCTTCAAAAGTTCACAAACCAACAACGCCGGCAACATTCTTCTTACTGTGAGCACTTTCAATTGCAATATACTATTAAGTGTCAAGAATGCTAGTCAAAGAAAAAGCTGAGCTATCTCTCGTTTTGTATATGTATTTGCTATAACAGTCATTAATTTTATTTAAAAAATTTTAAAGAAATCTTAAATTACTTTTGCTAATGTAAGAATTAGATAATGTACACACATGTCTCTTTTTTCTTTTTCAGTGAAGAAATATAAACGACAGATAAATCTTAACAGCAAATATTATAATTAAGAAATTATAAAATTTCTAATTATATATGTTACAATTCTATTAATTTAAAAATTAAATGACAAAATGTCATGTTGCAGCCATGGAAGCATTTGCAGACAGCACTATCGTGGATGATCGGTCATGCTGCTTGGGCTTGGGCAAGAACGGGCATATTGGATTATGAAAACGCGGAAGCATATAACTATGTTAGTGATGACGAATCAGCCGTTCACAGTGATGATCACGAAAGTGAGGAGAAACTTCCGCCAATCACTGACAAAGACGATAGATTAAACTTTGATGAAAATATTCTGATCAATCGTACACGCCCGGAAGTGTGCGATCAAGAGGTAAACTTTAATTTAAAAGATACATAGGTACTAAATTACTAAAATTGATTATATAATTATAATGTATATTTTGGATATTTACTAAAGAAAAATTGGTCCTAAGTTGGTTAGGAAAACGAGTAATGAGATACATTGTAAATAACTAATATTATTATTTTTAAGATAGTTTTTCTAATAATTAGAGTATTTCTAAGTTATTTTAATATAAGCTCTTATCTTAGTTCCTAATCCTAACTTGATGTTTTTTCATATTTTGATATCTATTGAATCTGCAGATATACTTGTACCTGCGAAACGCTTCGTTTGACTCATATGACATGGACATAGATTGCGAGCATAGATGGTACATGGTACAGTCGGTGGCTTATAGCAATATGCTGTTGGTGGTGGTAAATACCAACTGTGGAGACACGACATCACCGATATTGAGTGTCAAGCCCGAGGAGGTGATCTACGAGAATAATACGTTGGTTTGTCAAAAGGCACTCACCGGTCTCAAGCGAAAACGGCCACAGTCTTGTATACGTTCGAATCCTCGCGAGAGCGACATCAAGGATCAGTGCGGTTTGGCGACAAGCGCCAAAACGAACTTGTTCCTCTTGATGTTGTTGCTGATATGCGTACTGGCCGAAAAGAATACCTTCCTCCTTGGTTAAAATCGACCTGATTTTGTAGTTAATAATTGGTGTCAAACTAATTAACAATGAAATTCATGATATGCCGCGAATTGAAATTTTCGCTTGATGGAGCGTACTATGTGGACATCCAGTTGTCTTGTCCGACGATCAGGATTGCTACATAACGCATATTTAAACTATTTTCTATTTATTTGTTAATTTCTGTAATTAATGAATTTTTCTTGTACGAGTTAGGATTCATACAATTATATTTAATTTAAAAACAAAAGAAAATCTGAGTAAATGGAGAATTTAGTAAGAGAGAAATAATGAAAGTAAACTATAACTCTTTCTCTCTTTCCAAAATATCTTTTTTAGATTAAACTTTTTTTATTCTCTCTCCAATACATCAATCCTGATCAGGAGTACTTTGAGATATTTTGTGCTCTCTACCTCTCATTACTGCGATCTTGTTACTATAAATATGATCGAGTTCTAGACGAATTAATGTGCTATTCCCAATCTCTCTCCCTGCCTGGTACATCCCGGTACAATTTCTATGCGATCAATCAAATGTGGCGAACGCAATTGATATCAAAATGTGTGCTAAGATACAAAATTGTCCTCCATCGTCATTGATCGTCAAATCAGATCAGATAATCAGAATTAAAACGCTTAGCGTAGGATCGTTCGCTAACACATTTTCGATCATAAAATAGAAAAATAAATGCGATTCAGTAAATGATTTTTTTAAATGCGTTTTATCACATTAAAGAAGATTAAATTAAAAAAATCGAAAGAAGTCTGTCTTTTACATTAAGTATTCTACTTCGGATAAATTCTTATCAATTTTTAATTTGTATTCATTTTTTTTTTTAATATTTTGCACTCGAATTGAAAATAAGCCATTAGATTCAAAACAAGAAATAAAAAAATATACTACTAGGCATCATGAATGTCTTAATACACGAAGTTACATACATTTACGATGTATTTTTATATTGTTTAAGCAATTATGATGCAATTATCTGGATATAAAACTGAATATGTCTCAAATATGCTTAACTGTCTGGCATTTCTAGCATTGAGTATATAATGTCAAAATAGTTTTTCAAGTACATGCGATATTATTAGAAGAATTTGTTTTTTTTTTAAAGTCAGAAAAATTTTGCTGAATATCAGGATCCGTTCCGAAAAAAGTGTCTCAACTGACTTTGACACTTTCATCATAGATAGGACAATTGAATGGTACAAGGAAGCTCCAAATATTCTGAGTCGATCTAGTCAGTTTAAATGCTAACTCATTGAGATGTAGATTTTTCTAGACGTCGGAGCAGGGTTGCGTACTACGATGTATGTTCACAAATACACTACGATACACTCGCTTTGTATATTATAAACTGATAGCGACGCGGAGTGGCGACGCGTAGTTCAACATCTACAGAACATTACAAAACGTTAATTTTGTATATCGCTGTATTATATTGAGATGTGTGTGTGTGTGTGTGTGTGTTTGTGTGTTTGTGTGTGTGTGTGTGTGTGTGTGTGTGTGTGTATGTGTGTAAAAAAAAGTGTGTGCCTTTTTTTGGACACGCGGTTAAGACAAAAAGAAAAAGAAAAAAAGAGGAATATGAGATCTTGTTGTATGTTTATTGAATAAATTACCGAACGTTCTATATATTACCGCTGAACTCCAATTCTCGGATGGTGGCCTCGTCGCGAGAACGAGTTCCGTTCGAGGAACGGGGGATGTTGTTTGTATTACATAGAGTTTATTACAATTTGCTATGTACAACGGCTTGCCTATGTAAAACAAGAACGTTTTCGTATCAAAATGACAACTTTTCAAGAGAAGACTGAACTTTATTTAAACCTCAATTATGCCTCTAAATATCTCGCTATTCCCTTCACTTTTTGCATACATACATGTTCTGTCCTGTTTTCCAGTTTTTTTGCCATCTTTCCACTCTGCATATATTCCTGAAAGTTCTAAGAATTCTGCGGCCTATAATAATTTCAATTGTAGTTCTTTTTATTGCTTTTTTTCTCCAGCAAACCAGAATGGATTGAAATGAATTTAAATGGATTCAGATTTTCAGAAATATTGATTCACGAATGTTAAAATTAATGCTTTTCAATCCTGAATGCATTTTTAATCATTTATAAGAATTACATGGAGCATATATCTTTCTCTATGCCTTTTAATCTAAAAATAATATTAGCTTTTTCTGTGCACAACACACACATTGTGAATACAAATGTTCAATTCAAAATTTTGAATAGGAAATGCAGTTTTTCAATCCAATTGTATCCAATTGAATCTAATTGAATCCAATTAAATCCAAAAAAAGTATTTCGCTATTTAAAATATGTATTCGAATAGAAAAAAATTTCAATCAATTTTAATCCATTCTTGTTTGCTGGGTGTATATTTATGTTCATTTGTTAATATTATAATATTCATATTGAGTTAGGGAAAGTCTTTTCATAAGTAAAAAAAAGATTTTTTCCTATCAATATTTTCGTTAAAAATGATAAAAATTTAAAGTTAAAAAAGTTTTAAAGCTTGAACTCTCTACTTTTGAATAGTTGCTATATATTTTTTGAATTTATGTGAATTTTGTAATTTTTATGTATAGGTATATAGAAAAACTACGAACTGAAAAAAAATGAAAAATTTTCTTTTTACTTTGTAAGTCTGTAGCATATTCAAAAAAAAATTTGAGCAAATTTCCGACTATCTATCGTGAAAGTATAAAGCTTTCTCTATAAAATTATTTTGTAAAAATGTTTCTATGATTTTTTGTTCCTGAGTTACTCGCGGATTAAGTAAAAAGAAATATTCTGATTTTATTACTCGTAACTCCATTAAAAATCGTATCGTAATTAAAAATACAGATTCTTAAAACTGAAGCGTTGCTATATCAAGTGGTATAATTGTCAAATTTTTTAAAATAGAATATGTGGGCTGAAAGTCTTTTTACTTGTTAAGGGACATTTTCCCTAACGTAATAGTAATACATATATTGATATTGATTATAACATGCCAGTGATTTTTTAATCTTATATTTAATTTCATCTGTTAATCGGTCATCTTTCATCCTTATCTTTAATCTTTCAAAAGTGAGAAGCACTTCAAGATATTTCTTTGAAAGCACGATTTGAATTTAGCGCTACTTTGTCATGTAGTCACGTGACTATTTGGGACTCTGCACAATAAAAAGAACTGAGAACAGAGAATCGTGCATTGTGGAATACACAGTTTTTGATAGGTTAAAATTCTTATTCTCTGTTCTCTGTTCCCTATTCCTTTTATTGTGCGAAGCCCCTTTTTGTTCTAACCCAAAGTCTGTTTTCTATGAACTAATGTACACTTTTGAAACCGAAGCGGGGAGCATAGACTTTTGCATAACGCATAAAACATAAAGCATAAGAAATTCAAGCAATCATAGTTCTTTATTTGGAAAGGTAGGAAACGAAGGACTTTGATTGGTTCAAATTCTTATTACGTGCGTAATGCAAGAGTCTGTGCTTCCCGCTTTAAAGTGAGATAGATGTACGTTTGATATTTGTTTAAAGTGAGAAAGAGAGTTCTAGAACAGTTTAGTGCAGGAACAGAAAATAGATCACCAGATGTCGCTGGAACTAGGACGCATCTTTTGGGGCGGGAGGGGGGGGGGAGAGAGTTGACTTCCCCTCTCGGTCTCATGGTGGAAGCGAATCGAAGCGAATGAAAGCGAGTTCTGGCGGATTTGAACGACACATGTATACTGGAATATAGTTGTGTACAGTTGTCAGTATAAGCCACTACCCATGGTCTTCGTTTAATTTCGTACCAAGTGTTTCATCCAGTTTCATCCGATTTTAACGAGAGCAGAATCCGTAGAAATGGCCATGCAGCCATTCAAGAAGCGCGTCTGTTATTACTATGATAGTAAGTGCTAAAAGAACTGTTGTAAAACCATAGAAATATACCTTGTCAAAATATGTTGCACCTCTCACGTTTACACACCTCTATTTTATCTCGCTTGACATTTGGCCGCTAATCAGTCTCTTTTCCGCTTGATAGATGACAGATAGTAAGAAGCACGATTGTCTCGGCGCCGTAAACTGAGATTTGCATGCTCATTACGTTTGATAATACGATTTTCGCATGGTTAAGCCGACAGACTCTCAACCGTGTTATCGCGCGACTGTAGCGTCAGCCGTTCTTGGTTACATAGCTATTATGTATCTGTATATCCAAGTGTAATTACAATAAACTATGATAATACAGTTATTTTTTCGATAGATCTTATATATTCCCAAAAATATTTTTTGTATTGAATCGATAATTTAATCAACATAATGGAAAGTAATATAGTTTTTGTAGAAAGTGGTGAAAGATTCTTAAATGTATTCCGGTATACTGTAGTCTTCACTGAAACACATCCATTGATGATAATGAAAAATTTGAGACTTTATATGTTGCTTTGATTTATTTAAGCATGTTTTTTAATTTAACCAGGTGATATTGGAAATTATTATTATGGTCAAGGACATCCTATGAAACCACATCGTATACGGATGACGCACAATCTACTCTTGAATTATGGTCTTTATAGAAAGATGGAAATATATGTAAATACATTGTTATAATTATTTTTCATTTGTGTATTCATCTTTTACTTGTTTATAGTTTTCTATCAAAATACATTTATTTAGAATGTGGTTATTATAATATTTACATTTTATTACCTAGCGACCTCATAAAGCTACAGCAGAAGAAATGACAAAATTTCATAGCGATGACTACATCAGATTTTTGAGATCAATACGACCAGACAATATGGGAGAATATAATAAACAAATGCAACGATGTAAGACATTATTGTTGAATAATAATGATTGATTGAAATGATGTTTTTTGAAACATTTTAATATTTCTTTCTTTATGGGACAGTTAACGTAGGAGAAGATTGCCCTGTTTTCGATGGTTTGTACGAATTCTGTCAATTATCAGCGGGTGGATCTGTAGCTGCTGCTGTTAAACTCAATAAGCAAGCCTCAGAAATTTGTATCAATTGGGGTGGTGGCTTACATCATGCAAAGAAGAGCGAAGCTTCTGGTTTTTGCTATGTAAATGATATTGTACTTGGGATCTTGGAATTACTAAAATACCATCAGAGAGTTTTATATATCGACATTGACGTTCATCATGGTGATGGTGTAGAAGAAGCTTTTTATACAACGGATAGAGTAATGACGGTATCATTTCACAAATATGGCGAGTATTTCCCTGGAACAGGAGATCTTCGCGATATGGGAGCAGGAAAGGTAAAAAAAGTTATTAAAATATAATATAATATCTATAGTATTACTTATCTGAAATATTAACTCATTACTAATATATATAGTTTCTTTTTGTCATTATTAACAGGGAAAGTATTACGCAGTTAATATACCTTTAAGGGATGGTATGGATGATGAAAGTTATGAATCGATATTCGTTCCTATCATCTCTAAAGTGATGGAGACATTTCAACCTTCTGCTGTTGTTTTACAATGTGGAGCAGATTCATTAACAGGTAAAATTTTTTTTTAAAGAGAAATTATATGTCACAATAAAATTACATAATTTTCAATGCAAATATTAATCATTATGTAGGCGATCGATTGGGATGCTTTAATTTAACTGTGAGAGGCCATGGTAAATGCGTAGAGTTTGTGAAGAGATATAATTTACCTTTCTTGATGGTGGGAGGTGGTGGTTATACTATCAGAAATGTCTCCAGATGTTGGACATATGAAACTTCGGTGGCTCTCGGATGTGAAATCGCTAACGAGCTTCCATATAACGATTACTTTGAATATTTTGGCCCTGACTTTAAATTGCATATTAGTCCTTCAAATATGACAAATCAAAACACTTCCGAATATCTCGATAAAATTAAGTAAGTTCTGATTTTCATTTCTATGTGTAATTTGTTTTTATACAACATTTTTATATGTAGAGGAAAGGATCCCATTATGAGATACTGAATATAGACAGAATTAAAAAAATAATAAAAAAAGATTATTTTGAAAGGAATTTAATAAGCTTTAAGATAATGTAAAATTTAATTCTATTTTTTTTTTTAATTAAAGAAATGTAAAAAGTGAGCAAATCGCAAAGTCAAAAAATTGTGCTCCTAATACGAGATCCTCCGAGAAATCGATAATAAAATACAAAGTACATTAGTATTGCAATTAAAAAATTTTATTTAATGTTTCTAAAATACAAACAAATAGCCAATATATGCGAAAAATGAGAATGCAATGGATTATATTCAGAATTCGTCTTCAGGTAATTGGAACCAAGCATCTCAGAAATAGGCACTCGATGTTCATTCCAGTTGTCTTTTTTATTATTGTACAATAATATTTATACTTTAAGATTGAAAAAGAGACCGTTTATATTAAATTACACTATTTTAAATACGAAATGCCACTACGGTCTGAAGATACGGTTAACATGTTGAATTATTA